GGATATAAATTCCAAATATCTTTCAAAAAAGCGTATTGATAAGATTGTGCACGAATATTTTGTTTTGAATAAAAATATTTTTTGTTCATTTATTCTTGCAAACAATAAATTTGACAGTCAATGAAGACTTTGAATTCGCCTCCTTGTTAACCTTATGAATAAACCTTGCTCAGTATACAAGTGCCATTTCATTTACTGAACTTTTAAGTTATCTAACAACAGTGTTGCCAATTTAGCACTTTTAGTGCTAGATTTAGCACTTTTTGAACTCGTTTAGCACCAAAAAAATTGGTCTAGCACCTAGCACTTTTTTTAGCATTTTTAATTTCTTAGGATTTTTTTTTACAAAATTTTGGTTTCAATGCAAAAAATCCCGTTTTTCGATTTGATGTTGAATTCGCTATGTTTCACGCGATGAATTTGATTTTCCAATGCTATCCAGCACTATGATATTGTCAGACTATGATATTGTCTGTTGGTAGACTGTTTATTTGGGAAAAAAACCAAATTAAGTTGTACATTTTATGAGAGCGATGTAAAAATAATGAACATGAATTATGTTGGAACTTTCTGAAAACAAGTTTTTTATTCAGCGGGAATCCCGAATGCCAAGTTATAACCACTTTAGATTACCGAAAAGGCGAGCACACCCATTTATATTGGGATTGTGCCAGAATAAGGACCAAAATAGAAAAATTCCGGCAAACATATTTTTTTATATTAAAGTCGCTGTTGGGAATGAGATTATGAACCCTTAAAAGTACACAAATGGGACGAAAATTGATAATCTTCATACGCAATGTGAAATTACAGTTATTTACCTTAATCAAATTTGGGCATTATTAGTATTTATATTTTAGTAGGAAGATTTCAAACCCCATCAAACGACGTCCCCAAAATGTCGAATAAAGGGAGGGTACTGTGGGGGCTACCCCTAAATATGGACCCATATTAATAATTTTTCATAAGGAGATTTACTCAACATAATTTATACAATCAAATTAAAACCAATGTAATTGATGAGGGCTACCCTTAAAAGTAGCCCAATATTGATAAGTTCTAGTAAGAAGACTATATAACCAGGTAGAACACAATATACAAATATAGAACAATTTAGGTTGAACACGTGAAAAAGCGTTAAGTTCGGCTGGGCCGAACTTTAGATACCCTCCACCATAGATATACTGACAGGTACTATAAATAAAAATATAGGGAACATACCAAAAAGTGTACCTATACCGACATTTGATAACTATTTTAATATAAACAATTGAAAAAAGCGTTAAGTTCGGCCGGGCCGGTTATATGGGGACTACTCCTAAAAAGGGTGAATATTAATAATTTTCGGTGGGGAGATTCGTAACCATATACGACTACAAAATACCAAATTTCAGCGAATTCGGTTGAAAAACGAGCTCAAGAACCTCAAAATATCGAAAATTGGGAGTACCCTTATATGGGGGCTATCCGAAAATATGGACCCCTATTTTTAATTTTTAATGGAGATATTTGCTACCCAATAAGAACTCAATGTACCAAATTGTCCTCAGATGGACAGACGGACATGGCTATATCGTCATAGAATTAACCGGTGATCAAGAATATATATACTTTATATTTAATTGTTAAATATTAACAATTTTGTTTCAGAAATTTTTAGCACTTTTTTCTGGCACTTTTTTAAATTATTTAGCACTTTCTAGCATTCTTTTTAACAAAATCTAGCATTTTTACTCAACAAAGTTTTGGCAACACTGTCTAACAACTTTTAGTAATAATTTGTACAAATTGTTACAAATTATTGGGTTACCAAACAAACCTATTATTACACATTATAAATTAATTAAATTACAATATGGCAACACGAATCATTTTTCAGCATTTCTACAGCTTCCGTTTTTTGCTCTTCCCTGTTCATACAGAATAAGGGGAACGAGCGAAAGTGAAAAATGTTCGCTTGTTAAATCATTCCCTTTGCGAATATCCACAAAAAAGCTGTATATGATTCAACATTGACACAAAAGTCGACATTTTTAAAGAAGATAAAAAATGTGCATTTAGAGCAGACAAGCAATCGCAGAAAATTAGGGCACGACACCAAATAATAATAACACTGTGCTACAAAATAACAAAAAAGTTTTTTTTAGGGGTTCTATTGTACCAATTCTGTTTAGTTGGAGTCCCTGGATCACGAAAATACCTTTGGTTTTTCTGGGTCACTTCGAAAATGAATTTTATAACGGTAAATATAGAGAAAAACGTGGTTTCATGGATTTTCCATTTGAAACTTGAATAACTTGTTTACTTTATAACGGATTTATATTATTATTTTTTTTCTTTCGAAGAGTACAATTTTTCCTTTAAAACAAGATATATATTTGGTAAATCGGTTGAGGATTGGCTGAGTTACAGCGGTTGAAATGTGAAAAAAAAATACGCATAAAGTGACAAAATTTATTTTTCTTCGGACTGTACGATGAAATTATGATATCAAGCCATATACGTTTTATTATATTACGAGGAAGAAAATTAAATTAGCTTTCGAAAATGTTAAAAATCAAAAAAATCGGTTAAAAAATTGATTACTTATACACATTTTTGTATTGATTCTATGCATATTCTCTGAAGGAAATATGGGTCTGTATCATTTCCTGTTACAAACCGTTATGTTTGTAACAGGCAAAAGGAAACGAGATAGACCCATAAAATAATATAAATCCGTTATAAAGTAAATAAGTTATTCAAGTTTCAAATGGAAAATCCATGAAACCACGTTTTTCTCTATATTTACCGTTATAAAATTAATTTTCGAAGTGACCCAGAAAAACCAAAGGTATTTTCGTGGTCCAGGGACTCCAACTAAACAGAATTGCTACATTAGAACCCCTGAAAAATTTTCGTGTCGTACAGTGTAATATAGTTAGCTGAGATATACGTTTTCAAAGTAAAAACCCATCATGTTGTTGGTGCGTATGTACAAACTTCAAACGTTTTTTTTCTCTCTCTCCAATCTACATTTTTGTATGTATGTTTTTGTAGGATTATTATTCACATGAAAATCATGTCCTCTTTTTATATAAATTTCATCGGAATTATGGCGAAAAGATGTTTATATTGTTTTGCTACATAGAAATTTTAATTTTGACATTTCACTGCTTTTGAAATGCATTTTTTTATTTCGCTTCGCTTATGGCTTTATTCGTTTGTAACAAAAAAATCGAAAGTCTCAAATGAAAAAAAATGTTTTTTTTAGTTTTCAAAACAACGCCCGTCTTTGCATCATATCATTGCTTCTGACACATATACCCTGAAATTTTGGTTGGATTTGTGTTGACAGAAAACTTTTTAATGAATGCTATGGGACTATGGCTCCATCTCGTTTCCTTTTGCCTGTTACAAACATAACGGTTTGTAACAGGAAATGATACAGACCCATATTTCCTTTACAGAATATGCATAGAATCAATACAAAAATGTGTATAAGTCATCCATTTTTTAACCGATTTTTTTGATTTTTAACATTTTCGAAAGCTAATTTAATTTTCTTCCTCGTAATATAATAAAACTTATATGGCTTGATATCATAATTTCATCGTACAGTCCGAAGAAAAATAAATTTTGTCACTTTATGCGTATTTTTTCACATTTCAACCGCTGTAACTCAGCCAATCCTCAAACGATTTACCAAATATATATCTTGTTTGAAAGGAAAAATTGTACTCTTCGAAAGAAAAAAAAAAGAATAATATAAATCCGTTATAAAGTAAATAAGTTATTCAAGTTTCAAATGGAAAATCCAGGAAACCACGTTTTTCTCTATATTTACCGTTATAAAATTCATTTTCGAAGTGACCCAGAAAAACCAAACGTATTTTCGTGGTCCAGGGACTCCAACTAAACAGAATTGGTACATTAGAACCCCTGAAAAATTTTCGTGTCGCACAGTGTAATATAGTTAGCTGAGATATACGTTTTCAAAGTAAAAACCCATCATGTTGTTTGTGCGTATGTACAAACTTCAAACGTTTTTTTTCTCTCTCACTCTCCAATCTACATTTTTGTAGGATTATTATTCACATGAAAATCATGTCCTTAATTGGGAAACACTCTTCTTATATAAATTTCATCGGAATTATGGCGAAAAGCTATTTATTTTGTTTTGCTACATAGAAATTTTAATTTTGACATTTCACTGCTTTTGAAATGCATTTTTTTATTTCGCTTCGCTTATGGCTTTATTCGTTTGTAACAAAAAAAAAAATCAAAAATCTCAAATGAAAAAAAAATGTTTTTTTTAGTTTTCAAAACAACGCCCGTCCTTGCATCATATCATTGCTTCTGACACATATACCCTGAAATTTTGGTTGGATTTGTGTTGACAGAAGACTTTAATGAATGCTACTAATTTTATGAAATTCATTCGAATGACCTATATTCAAATTGTCATTGAAATTACATGAGAAGTCGAAAAGAATTTTCACTAAAAATATGTAGTGGAATACATCACGATTACAATCAATAAGCAATAAAATATGTACCTGCAAAGTCTCAAATTAAATAACGAATTAATTTCTATGAAAAAACGTCATTTTGTTCAAAGGTTATGTAGATATCGTGGATATTATAAGGTATTATTTTTTTCCGTCTTGTGTTTATACGATTTAAATAAAGAAACAACTTAAATTGTTTCACAAAAAAAAAAAAAAAAACTATTTCCAAGAGGATTTTCCTTTATTAGTAGGCAAAAGTTCAATAATTTTGGAAAAAAAATGGAAAAAGTCATTACCCTAATGTTCCTACTTATAATAGATGTATATGTGCTTTTACCTCGGGTTGCAATTAAAATCGATATATTAAATTCAGCCGTTATGCGTTTTCAGTTTCCACCAATTGTAACATTAGTTGCCATATTCAATTTGCACTCTATATCAAAAATATGCATCGACTTTTTGTCGACGACAGTAAATTCGAAAATAAAGTTCCGCTTTCATTTATTTCAGAAAATCGGGGAGAATTTTTGGAAAAACTTCTACGTGCCCGATCTGCAGTACGCCCGGGTACCCCTTCTCAGCCGATTCTGCCAACAGTGAGTGTCTTGCGGCTAGTGGTTGGTAATTGGGTGTTACAGTCACAGAAACAAAACCAACTACAAATCCACAATACAGAAGGTCATCAGGTGACAATATTGCAAGATGATTTGCCCGGTTTCATTTTTGAAAGTAATAGGGGTACCAAGCACACATTCACAGCAGAAACGACATTGGGTCCCGACTTTGCCACCGGTTGGTCCACTAACAAGAAGAAGAAAATTAAGACTAAAACGGAAATTCAGAAGACACAGGTGAAGAACATGGCTCGTGACATTTATAACAAATACTTCAAGGCTGCTCAGGCTGTGCCCCGTGGAGCTGTGGCCAAGTTGACAAACATTGTGAAACGAATTGAATTGGCCCTGGAGGAACAAAGAATACCAGGACAAAGCAGTTGGCAGGATAAATTGCGTGACGCGCTCAATGAATTGTCGCAACTACTGCAAGAGGATGGAGTTGTTAGTGCTTATGAGATGCACTCGTCCGGTCTAGTTCAGGCGTTAGTAGCAGTTCTTTCCAAAAATTATTGGGACAATGGTTTGTCTCGAAGTAAAATGAATAAAATGCAAAAGCAACGCGTCAGCATTTTCAAGCAATGCATCATCAATTGCAATGCCAAGGGCAGTAACACCGCGTCGATTTTAGTCCAGAAATTAGTAGCGGTTTTGGAGAGTACCGAAAAATTGCCTGTCTACTTGTACGACGCACCTGGTCCTGGCTATGGCCTGCAGATATTAACAAAACGTTTACGTTTCCGCTTGGAGAGAGCCGCATGCGAGACTACGCTTTTCGACCGCACTGGTCGAACCTTAAAAATGGAACCATTGGCCACTGTCGGTCAGCTGTCGAAATATTTGCTGAAAATGGTAGCTAAGCAGTGGTACGATATGGAGCGCAGCACTTTCCTTTATTTGAAGAAATTGAGAGAACACAAGCAGGGCATGGTCTTTAAACACCATTATGATTTTGACGAAGAAGGCCTCATTTATTATATCGGGTCCAATGGCAAAACATGCGAGTGGGTTAATCCTGCCCAGTACAACCTCGTACAAGTTACCAGCTCAGAGGGCAAAACATTACCTTATGGGAAACTAGAGGATATTCTCTCCCGCGATAGTATATCGGTGAATTGTCATACTAAGGATAACAAAAAGGCCTGGTTCGCAATAGACTTGGGAGTCTTCATAATACCAAATGCTTATACTTTGCGACATGCCAGGGGCTATGGACGATCTGCGTTGCGCAACTGGATGCTACAAGCTTCAAAAGATGGTGTCACTTGGACAACACTTGTTACTCATTCGGACGACAAGAGTCTTGTTGAACCTGGCAGCACCGCAACTTGGCCGATTGTTTGTGCTCCGGACGAGAATCAAGGTTTCCGTCATATACGCATACAGCAAAACGGTCGAAATGCCTCCGGGCAAACACATTACCTAAGTTTGAGTGGCTTTGAAATATATGGGCGTGTCGTCAGTGTCTGCGACGACATTGGTAAGGGATCCAAGGAAGCTGAAGCAAAGATTCGTCGTGAGCGTAGGCAAATTCGTGCCCAACTGAAACACATTACAACTGGAGCACGTGTGGTCCGAGGTGTAGATTGGCGTTGGGACGATCAGGACGGTGGCTGTGAGGGAACCGTAACTGGTGAAATACACAATGGCTGGATCGATGTTAAATGGGATCATGGTGTAAGAAACTCGTACCGCATGGGCGCTGAGGGCAAATATGATCTAAAACTAGCCAACAGTGATAACGTTTCAATGTTTGAAGGAGGCTCAACCATAACCCCAAATACTGCTGGCAATAGTTCTAAGAAGGGTATATCGCTAACGTCGAGGAAGTCAAGCTCCACACCTTCCCTACCAGAAGCTACAGAGATTAATCGCAATTCGGAAGGCCCACCAGATCAAGCTGCCTCTGCCGATAATTTGGCGTGGAAACAAACAGTAGAGGCCATAACCGAAGATGTGTTTTCATCTGTTAAATCTCAAATGCTGGCTGGAAGTTCTGGTACAGCTATTGCCACCGATGAAAATCAAAGTTTGCAAAACAAGAACGCATGTAGCGGTGCTTCAGGGGGTATAACATCTGGAACCGCGTCAACTCTACTCCGAGAACGCGATAATATAACTGATTTATCGGCCATTAACAATTCAATGCAAGCTATCAACGCCAATGTGGCTTCCGATCTTGCTACCATCACCGAAAACTTAGCTCTAAGCGATAATCCGCCAGGCATAGGTCTAGCCGCGATTACTAGCGCCCCGGCAGGTTTTAGCACATCAAACAGTGGTGGCAAGAATGCCTTGGCGGCTATATTCGGCACTAATTTCGGCACCGCATCGACAGCCGCGGGAACATCCACCTCGTCGTCCTCCACCTGTGAGGCTAATAATAAAATGAATGCCAATAATACGGCTGGTTCTTCTAGCGGTGGTGGTGGTGGCTTAAGTAAGGGCCTTCTGGTAAATTTGCGCTCCGGCTCATCAGCCAGTCAGCGAGTGTCGCAATTTTCGACTGAGGCACTTGAAATGATTGACAAAATGAGGGATGGCGTTGACATGTTGCGTAACAATACAAACAATATCCTTACATCGGATATTCTCTCTCTTCCTGGTTCTAATTTGCTAGCAGCTGCCTGTGTCAATAAATCATCCAGTTCTAGAACTGACAACGGCGAAAATATGAGCAACATCAGTGTCGAATGTCCCCAGAATACAACAACAAATACGTCAAGCGATGTTTCCACGTCGATGGATAAGAACTGCAGCAGCGATTCTCAAGTAGAGAGTGGTGTTTATGCTGAACAACTTAATGCTGAGGGAAATCATCCCATCACAGTGGTCGATGTACAAGCCCCATCGGAAAGTGGCGGGAACAATGAAAATGTTGTTTCGGTTTCCGTATCAAATCAGATGAGTGTCAGTGTTCCGAATCTAACCACAACATCCACCTCGGAGACACAATCACAGTCGGAGACATCAACACATACCGGTTTATTGGAGACTTTTGCTGCAATGGCCCGTCGCCGCACTTCTCAGGGTACCAACTTACCAAATAACCAAATTATGAATACATCCAACAGCAATTCCAACGATCGTAATAATCAGAACACTGGCGGTGGCTCCAATTCATTCTTTCCACGAGGACCCAATTCAGTGACGAGCCTGGTTAAGTTGGCTCTATCATCTAATTTCCACTCAGGTCTATTGAGTACAGCTCAGAGTTACCCAAGTTTATCATCAAATAATGCGGCCAACACAGCTGGATCAAATGTAAGCTCCAGCACAGGCAACTCTTCGTCCGGGCAACAAGGCCAAACATCAATAAATCCAGCTCTCACTATGAGCCTTACATCAACATCCAGCGACAGTGAACAGGTTTCCTTGGAAGATTTTCTTGAAAGTTGTAGAGCACCGGCATTGCTTGGCGACATGGATGATGACGATGATATGGACGAGGACAACGATGACGAAGAAAACGAAGACGAATACGAGGAGGTGGGAAACACTTTATTACAAGTAATGGTCTCGCGGAATTTGTTGACGTTCATGGACGATGAAACTCTTGAGAATCGTTTAGCGGGTGTAACAAAACGCAAGTCATGGGACGACGAGTTTGTATTGAAGCGCCAGTTTTCTGCACTTATTCCGGCTTTTGATCCCAGACCTGGTCGCACCAATGTTAATCAGACATCGGAACTGGAGATACCAGCCCCTGGCACAAGCGCAGATTCGATGCGTTCACAAGATCAGGAAGCTCTTCAGCAACCTGTTTTGGCATTGTCTTTGCGTGGGCCTAGTATTGGTGGAATACCCGATGTAGAAATTGAGTTGGATAACAATGACTGGACCATATTTCGGGCTGTACAAGAGCTTCTACAAGCTTCTCAAATGAACAAAACGGACAAATTCCGAAAGGCTTGGGAACCTACCTACACTATTGTATATCGAGAAGTACAGCAACCGCAAACCGATGATGCAATGGATGCTGATGACGGCCCAAACACCCCAGTCGTATCATCGAAGAGTGGTGCATCGACATTGTCGCCGAACTCGCCCGTAAGAGGTGAATTCATCACATCGGAAAACGTTAATTGTACCGTCGAGGATGTACTGCAGCTTTTAAGCCAACTTAATACACTAAATCAACAGGGGGCAAACGAATATGCAAACAGTACTGTTATAGAATCCGGCACATACGGCAATGCCCATCTGCCGAATGAGATTTTCATGAGCAAGAAGATTACAAATAAACTACAACAACAAATTCAAGATCCTCTTGTTTTGTCGAGCAATTCGCTGCCGTCATGGTGCGAAGACCTAAATCAGTCATGTCCCTTCTTGTTTCCATTCGAGACTAGGCAACTGTACTTCAACTGTACTGCATTTGGAGCGTCGAGGAGTATCGTGTGCTTACAATCGCAGAGAGATGCTACGCTGGAGCGGCAACGCATGCCTGGTCTGAGCCCTCGGCGCGACGATCAGCATGAATTCCGGGTGGGTCGCCTGAAACACGAGCGTGTAAAAGTGCCTCGTGATGAGAATCTATTGGAATGGGCCATGCAAGTGATGAAAGTGCATTGCAATCGTAAATCTGTTTTGGAAGTTGGCTTTATGGGCGAAGAGGGAACTGGTCTAGGACCAACATTGGAGTTTTTCGCATTGGTAAGAAACTTACTCGTCATTTAAATGTTTGGGAACATGCACAATGTATGTATTTTTTCTTCATGTAGGTGGCATCTGAGTTACAACGGTCGGATCTTTGCATGTGGCTGTGTGACGACGAACAACCAATCCCTAATGACAGTGACAGCAAAGGCGACACCGAACTAAGCACATCCTCGGCAACATGCGTAAAAGATGGCACTAAGCCTATTGGATACTATGTAAATCGTCGAGAAAACGGTCTCTTTCCAGCACCCTTACCTCAAGATTCGGAGGTTTGTGAAAAAGCTTGCCGATATTTCTGGTTCTTAGGCGTCTTTATTGCTAAAGTATTGCAAGACATGCGCTTGGTAGATCTACCACTTTCGAACTCATTTCTCCAGCTGTTGTGTCACAATAAAATGCCTTCGGCTAGCTCAAATTCTCATGTTAGGCCGTCAACCGTCACAGACGACTTAATGGTCTCATCGATAATGTCTGAAGACTCGGAATTAGCTGACACATGTTCGAAATTGCTTGGCGCAACATACCACTCCGAGTCCAGATGGTATGACGGTATTTTGACTTACGAAAATCTTGCCGAAATTGATCCCATACGCTATGAGTTCATCAAGGAAATTCAAGATTTGTTGGCTCGAAAGCAAGCTATTGAATGCGATTTAAATATTTCGTCAGAACAACGTCAACTGGCCATTGCAGATTTGAAGTTACGAACTCGAAATGGCACCGAAGTTAAACTGGATGATATGGCATTAACATTTACTTATCTGCCGAGCTCATCAGTGTACGGATATGAGTATGTTGAATTGGTACCCAATGGTGTAGACATCGACGTAAACATAAATAACTTGGAAGAATATTGCGATTCATTGATTAATTTCTGTTTACAAGACGGCATTGCCAAACAAATGGACGCCTTCCATAGTGGATTTTGTGAAGTATTTCCTTTGAAGAAATTGGCCGCTTTTAGTCCGGCCGAAGCACGCATGATGATATGTGGTGAACAGCATCCAGAATGGACTAGGGAGGATCTCATAAACTATACTGAACCGAAATTGGGATATTCGAAGGATAGGTATGTGTATAAATACTATTGTAAACAATAAATATATTAATGACGGAAAGCCATAATGGGTTGGAATATTTTATAGAAAGTGGCAAGTAATAATATCATCTAGATTTTAAAAGCCAGCATCTTGTAGCTAAGCGACAGTGATGCTGTACATTCAGCACACAAATGTAGCGATAGCCTGAAATTGCTGCCACGGCAACTTTTGTTGCTGACCACTTGGAGGGCAGTGATAAACCTAAACAATGCACCAAAATTGAACCATATTCGTAGTGAAACTAAAATAGATCCTACAACAATGGCTTCACCCACATTGTCAATGAACGATAATCTTAAATAGATCGAATCGCGATTTTTAACGCCCTTAATACAAATACGGAATATTGCTTTTAGTTGGTGTTGCTATTCTTCTTTAAAGGCCAGTTGAAAATTTGTTTAGCATCTAATTTTTAGCAGCTTTATGACATCTATTAGATATGAATATTATATCTTAAAATGTAATTTGGATGTGATAAGAAATCCGATATTACTTGAATCTCTTTATACCCTCAGACTTCTAGGATGGGGGCATATAACACAAATGTTCTTTATTGACATCGTGAAATAAGGATGCTATTGGTCCATAGATTCTGGACAAAGTGGTCAAAATGTTGCTGGAAAGTAGAATGACGGTGCACTTTCATTTTATTTCCATATTATTTTCGCGGCACATAGTGGGAGGGGGATGGTATATATATATATATATATATACAGTGGTGGTCACAGAATTAAAACATTTACTGTGGTAAACATTTTTTGATCAACCCTCGATTCGTTTGAAGAATTCAGAACACTTCGATATACTGCAATTAAGAGAATTAATGCGAAAATAGAAAATTATTGCATGCATTTTTCCATAAATAACGGTTTTTATGAAAATACATCGATTTTGAAGTGGCCATATAATTAAAACATTGTGTGATTTTTTACTTTACTGCATTTTTTTTTTAAATATTTTTAAAAAATTCTCTTTAATTTAGTTAAATTATGTAAACCAAGCACTGATAGAATCATTTACAGATAAAAATATCTGAAAAAATCTGTAAAATCTATCAAAATTGCCAAAAGTTGGTACAGTACACCTAACATTCAGAAAACACCCTTATTATAGAAAATAAAGGTCTGAATGCACTAAAAATTGCTAGAATTAGAAAAAAACAATTAAAATTCTCAAAATGAATAAATATTTGAAATAAAAACTCGAAAAATGGTAATTAACCTAAAGGAACGATTCAATTTCAATAGCCTTTACTAAAGAAGGCCGGAATATTTTTGCAGTATGTGAGAAAATATCGACTGATATTGGTATTTATTATATTCAAATCGATTGTTCGAGTAGTGCAGAATATATTTCATCAAAAAATATATCAGTCACAACAGAACGAACAGAGATCAAGGCCTATGTTGACGAGTAAAGGTTTCTGGCACACAGCAGCATTTGTGATGTTCAACACAAGTTTTCAAATATTTGTCAAAGTGTAATTTTTTTCCTAATTTGTTACTAAAATAGATTAAGTGGAAGGTATTCTCTGCATAAAATATTATTTTGGAAAAATATTGTCATGTTTAATAGATTTTAAGGGTCAATAGTTGGCCATCAATCATGCTGCTGTGTGCCAGAAACCTTTACTCGTTAACATAGGCCTTGATCTCTGTTCGTTCTGTTGTGACTGATATATTTTTTGATGAAATATATTCTGCACTACTCGAACAATCGATTTGATATAATAAATACCAATATCAATCGATATTTTCTCACATACTGCAAAAATATTCCGGCCTTCTTTAGTAAAGGCTATTGAAATTGAATCGTTCCTTTAGGTTAATTCCCATTTTTTGAGTTTTTATTTCAAATATTTATTCATTTTGAGAATTTTAATTGTTTTTTACTATTTCTAGCAATTTTTAGTGCATTCGGACCTTTATTTTCTATAATAAGGGTGTTTTCTGAATGTTAGGTGTACTGTACCAACTTTTGGCAATTTTGATAGATTTTACAGATTTTTACAGATTTTTTCAGATATTTTCATCTGTAAATGATTCTATCAGTGCTCAGTTTACACAATTTAACTAAATTAAAGAGATTTTTTAAAAATATTTTCAAAAAATGCAGTAAAGTAAAAAATCACACAATGTTTTAATTATATCCACTTCAAAATCGATATATTTTCATATAAACAGTTATTTATGGAAAAATTGCATGCAATAATTTTCTATTTTCACACTAAATCTTTTAAGTGCAGTATATCAAAGTGTTCTGAATTAAAAAAATTTCAAAAATACCTCCAACGAATCGAGGGCTGATCACAAAATGTTTACCACAGTAAATGTTTTAATTCTGTGACCACCACTGTATATATATATATAAACAACAATCAATAATCAATAACAAATTATCGATTTCAATTATTATAATGATTTTATTTAGAAAGGTTTTCGAATTAAAACAATATATATTTCATATATTATATTATAATTTCATTGCAGTCCCGGATTTTTGCGATTCGTAAATGTGCTCATGAGCATGACTGGCCCTGAGCGAAAAGCTTTTCTTCAATTTACGACAGGTTGTAGCAGCCTCCCGCCAGGCGGCTTAGCTAATCTACATCCTCGGTTGACTGTCGTTCGAAAGGTCGATGCCGGAGAAGGCAGCTATCCCTCAGTTAATACCTGTGTCCACTACTTAAAACTACCTGATTATCAGACAGAAGAGATTATGAAGGAACGTCTACTAACCGCAACCAGAGAAAAGGGTTTCCATTTGAATTAATTCAATCCATTAATGTTATTTGTAAAGATTTTTTCGTGTTTCTTGAATTATGTTATTTCAGCTTTACTAAATTCTAATATGTTAATGATATTATTGATTGGTGGTTGGTTGGATGTATGGATGGATGAATGGGATGGAGTGTGTAAAATAGCAACAGCTAGTTAATGCATTTTTCGACACTTCATTATAACAGCCAAATCATATTCTATTTTATATTTATGTATGTAAATTCCTTACTGTTATAACCCATTATATATATTATCGAACTTTTTATTTATATTTGTCCTGTTTTTGATTTTGTGAGCATAATGAAGAGATTATTAGGAGAATCGCCAGTTAGAGGAAACCAAGAAGAAAGAGTTTTTAAAATTCTTTGTTCTCGCCTTTTAATGTTGTTTTTTTTTCATATTTGTTAAATGAAATATTTGTCCATTCGCAATTTGATTTGATTAGTTGTTATTTGATTTGGAGCATACTTCTATCTGGATATAATAATTATTGTAAGAATAACAATTCAAACTGAATTATCGTTAACTACAAACAAGGAAAAGTTTATTACTACCATTAATTACCGCCACCATTAGTAATTGATATAATGCTATAGATACATATATAAACAAAATATGCTGAGGTGAATTTTAAGCGTTTCTTATATTGATTACAATACGAATTAATGTAAATAATAATTAAAACTTAATTTATTATATATGAAGCTTCTTATATTAATTAAAAAGAAATCGATTCGATTACAAGCAAACTTATTATATATATGGGTCTAACTTTTTAATGAAAATACACTCTCACAGTACTCAAAAAGGGTCTAGGAATCCTATACTTCGTAGAAGAATTATGGAAGTAAATAATGTCACTTATTCCAGTAGGCACATTTCGTTAGCCTCCCTAATGTAGGAGAATTGATACCACCAACCGCGTATATCGATTTTTTGCGTTTGTTTGTTCTCCATAAATTGGGAAGATTTTATGGATTTGCTATTTTCCACGCAACTAATTTGTTGATTCATACGATGTGATAGGCACAATTTCCTTTGGTCAGTCAATTGGTTATTGTTGATTTTACGCCTAATCATCAGCCTTTCAAAATAAGTGTTTGTGAAAAATCTCGCATTGGTAAACCTTATATTTTTTATACAAAACGCATAATTTCTTAACTACTGCAAGAGCTTTGCTTATTTTGTCCTGATTATCACGATCATTATGTTATCCTATTTAATTACTTTAGTTTTTAAGATTATTTTCTAAGAGTTACAAGAACATATGTCGTAATAAATCTTATTAAAATATATCCATGGTGTTGTTATTTAGTTATTATATTATTATATATTATAATAAATGATGTTTACTACCACCCTTATTCTGGATGTCAATTCACGGAAATTTACTCGCTACTTTTCCTTCGACTTATTCTGAACAACAATTCACATTGAATTTTTTTCGCATCTCTTTCGCCATATTCTGAATGAAGAAAACTGAATGAGAAAGCGAAAAAAATCCGCTTTGGGGAAAATTAGTTATTCTGGATTACTGGATTATTTATTTATTTAAACTCTTACATGTACACAAAGCCTTTTTTGGCCAATTATGAATACATTATGCGAAATCGTTGACATATGGCACAACTCTAAAAACATGGACATTGAGAAATGTCAAAAAAAAAAAACTTAAAAAAATACATATATTTACTTAATAAGATATAAAAAATTAATAAATGAAATCAAAAAATTCAAATGTTTTATGTTTTAACACTGATATGAAAAAAAAAATAAGCGCTCTGCGCTCAAAAATTATAGTGCATATCTATATCTATCTATCTATATATATAAAAATGAATTGCTGTTCGTTAGTCTCGCTAAAACTCGAGAACGGCTGAACGGATTTTTCTTATCATAGTCTTGAAATGTTCGTGGAGCTTCAGGGTAGGTGTAAAAGGTTCAAAAAATTTGAAAATCGCGAAAAATTTGCAAAAAAAATTCATGAAGCATATCGTTAGCTAAAATGCAAAAAGGCGTAACTAACAAAAGCATAATTGTGTAGGAGAAGCAAAAAACTGTTTTGAATGGAAACTATAAACATGTCATGTGAAATGAAAAAGTATGCCCGGCAGGGTGATATTGCATATGAAATTTAGTTATTTAGTTTAATGGCAGTCGTAACAATTAAGTAAAAACGTGAATTTTTTGTTATTTACGCCTTTTTGCATTTATCAAATAAACCCACTTGTAGTTACGTCTTTTTGTTTTTTTTTTAATAGAAGCTCCTTTTTTGACCGCAGTCGTGTAAAACTTTGTCAACACATGCAGTTTATCGACATTCACAATATTCATTCAAAAAGTCAATTTTCAATTTTTTGTTAGTTACGCTTTTTGCATTTTAGCTGACGATATTTGCATTTCCACGAATTTAGTATCGAGCTATTTTGGTTGCACCACGTCATAGATGTTATTTTGAGATATTTTGGGCGCAAATGTGCCGCGTATCATTCCTCTAAGTCTACATTTGTCAATTATTGAAAAATTTTCCAAATATTTTATTATTATTTTTTCAATGGGATTGACATTATATTCAAAATATTTTATGTGAGAATACGTAAAAAATTGAAAAGTATATCATTGAATATACACGCATATGTACACGTCTTCAATAGAATGCACGTAAATGTTGGGGCAAATGCTAGAATGGAAAATCAGAAGACATTCTGAATGGACTTCGTGTCCATGTTGTTCTTTAAAGTACCAAATCAGGTGGTACCATTTTATGGTGGTTATATGCCTAATCGTTTGTCAATATCTTAGAACTTACAAACAGAACACTTCGCATATATCATACACCAAAAATTTGTATCACAGAGAAAACTAATATACAAGATATTTTCTTTGCAAAAATCTATCATTAAGCTCAGCTCAGTAATATTTAAAAACAACAAAATACCTAGGCAAAATACTTAATGTGAATGTTGTACCAAAATTTCCATCGAAAACATTTATAATAACAAAGAGTCTCATGATGTTACCTATTCAGGTTGAACATGTGACTATAAAATTGAAAATTGCCAAAACGGGGATAAGAACTAAAAAATATATCGACAAATTGGACCGGAAATATTTATGGCGTATTTTAAAAACGTTAAGCTATAGTGCATAATTTCTGGATGATGTTATTTATTAACTGGAATCCATTATGCCTAATTATAGCCAACTTTTTGAGAAAATTCGGTCTCTATTCAAAATACCGAAAATGGGCCGGGACCAGTATGTTGGAGCTGTATCAGAACTTGGACCTAAATAAAGATTTTTTTGCAAAAATGTGTCTTACCCCCCAATATACCGGAATGACATATAACAGCTATTACAATGGGAATGGTGATATAGTAGGTTTTTGTAGGAAGATTTGACACCACTTGAGTTATGGCATGGGGGTTACCATTATATGTGTGCTATCCGGAAACTTGAACCATTATTGATAATTTTTTGTAATGATATTTTGTACTCAATGATGATCTAAAATATAAAATTGCAGCCAATTTGCTTGAAAGCATGACCAAACTCCCTAAAATACCGAATATTATAAGTACCGTTATATAGGGGCTACCCCACAAAGGTGCACCAATATTGATAACTTTTAGCAGGATTTATGCTACCAAATAAAACAACCAGCAACGATTAGGTTGAAAAACATTCCTTGATTAGGTTTAAAAACATGCCCAAATCCCCAAAGGATCGTATAATGTGGAGGCTTTTGGGAAGTTTCTGTTGAAGGCCGTGCCCAAGATCTTCAAAATACCGAATATTGAGAGCTACGGAAACTTTCTGCTCAATGACAATCCAAAATATAATAAAATTACTACCAATTCTGTTAAAAAATCGTCAAAATTCCTCATATTAAAAATACCGTTTTATGGGAGCTGTCCTTAAAAGAGAACCAATACGGAACATTTTCAACACCAAATATCCTAGGAGTAGTAATGTATGTTATAATGAAGTCTTATAAATATATTGGGAAAATGTAATTAAATCCGAAAGTCAATCTTATATGCCCATTTAAATTTATTAAAAATATTTTTTTTCTACGAATTCGAATATTAATAAATTTATATCAACAGCAACTTTAGAATGCAAAATTAGAAAAAATATTACAAAGATCTGCACACTCTACCTTATGGTGGAGGGTTTTTAAAACAAATCTAAAATTCCGAGAATTATAAATCAACAATATTGCTAAGCAAGACAACGTTCGCCGGGCCCGCTAGTAATGTATAAAAAGAAACTATTCGAAATGTCTAAGAAGACGTTTAGAGTATGTAGCCGGGGTAATGCTAAAATCTTTCAACTCATTAGACAAAGAATTGAATAAGCGTGCAATGCGAACTGGAAATGAATTATTCATGAAATGGTGAATAATAGGAATTTGAAGTTGTTGTCGCCGAGTTGAAGAACAGAAAACAAAATCCTTCACCAAAAAAAAAGAGGACACTGGTCCTGAATAGTTTTAAAAAACTAAGTAGCAGGCGAGTTTTAACAAATGAATTTTATATGGTGGCAGAAATTAAGTTTGTCATCAAGTAAAACTCCCAAGCACAACAATTCAGAAACAAAAGCAATATATGAATTATTGTACGAAATAGACACGCAGTTATTATTAAATGAGGCGAAAAAAATAGCTTTTGTCTTCGACGGGTTTATACCTAGAGTATTATTCATCATCCAATTTTTCAATGCAACCATTGCATTATCAATCTTCGATTGAAAAACGGAAAGATATCTCCTGTCGCCTGTGAAGAGCAATTGGACGTCGTCTGCAAATGAAAAAGGCCGGCACCAAAAACCTAGATCTAGAAACAGATAATTAATAAAAACAACAAACAGAAGTGGTCCCAAAATCGAGCCTTGAGGCACTCCACTTTTGACTGTCAGAATAGAACTCTTTGTATTACCAAACATACAAGCTGCTTTCTATCGAAAAGATAGGATGTAATAAGAGTACTCCTATTTTCTCTGAATCCACACTGGGCATCGGGT